ATTCCCTCCTTCCGCTGGCGTTGTTTGGCGAATAGGGCACCGAACCGAGATGGACTAGATGCCAACGGGGAGCCAACTTTCGTAGATCCTCCGATTCCGATACCAATACCTATACCAAGGCCGGATGGGTCCTTGCTGCTGCTCGACAAGTCATGCTCGGTGCGGGAGAGTCGACGCATGCGCTCTTGAGGAGTGAGTACATCATCGTGCAGGTTTGTGGGGAGGTAGTCTTCCTCCATGGCGAAGTTGTCCTCCCAGTCGTCGAGAATGGTTGGACGGGGAACGCTTGCGGATAGAATCCGCTGACGAGGCACACGTTGGGAATGCATAGGTCGGAAGCCGGAGCCATCCTCTGCGCTGACAACGGGGGGAGAAGAACCAAGCCCAAGTGGTTTTTTATCTAGGCCAAAGGCTGTGTCATGTAGGCTACGGAGCACGTCCGGAGTAGCGTTGGGCCGGTGTGGGAGAGATGGGGAATGAGAGAAGTCTAGGCCGAACTTGGACGGCATCGAAGCCGCAACAGGGCCGTAGCGGGCCATGTGAGATATACCTTGGCTATCGAACGAGGCGGGCAACGGAGCATCAAGGGCGGTGCGGCCGATAGGGGACATGGGGAGGCGGACTTCCTCAGGAGGCGAGCCATATTTGGAGCCCGTGTCAGATACCAGCCCAGCGTCAATAACCGGGATCGAGCCATCGAACTGGTGTCCATATGGAGGTTGCTGTGGCTGCTGCTGTTGCTGTTGCTGTTGTTGTTGAAGTTGTTGCTGAGCATGTGGGGGTAAGAGTTGAAGGTCATCTTGGGAGGCAAAGGGGTATGAGTATCGTGGGTTATGTCCGTTGATCTGCTGCTGAGAGAGGAGAGAGTTTGCTAAAGCCGAATCTTGTGCATGGTAAGGCGGAGGGTGGACTCTCCCACCGAGATTGAGGTTCCCTCCTAGGCCGATGCTGGGCCGGTTCACTCTTCGCCCATCTGGTAGGATATGCGCGAGGGCACACTTCGCTCCGAACTTGCAGTTTCCCTATTCCCATCACCGTTAGTTATACAGTCCATCTCCAGTCCGAAAAAAAAAAAAAGGCTCTTCCAATAAGCCCTGGTATCACCTTTGTAAAGTACTTGCACGGCGCAGAATCTATGGTATTGTCTGTGGAATGCAGGAACGGACACGCCGGGCCGGCCTGGCAAGTTCCCTGGCGGAAGAACTTGCATGGGACGTGTTTAGTATCTGCGCGCTCGTGTTAGCCGCAATTTCGCCTGAAACCCATAGTGAAGGCTACCTACTCTTGCTGGCGGGCGGATTTGGCGGGCTGCGAGCCATATCAAACGGTGGACGCATACCACCGTTTTCATTCTGAGGAAATGGCCCATGACCTCCGGGCACTGGGAGCGGGGCTCTGTTGCGCGGATCGCCTCCAGCCATCCTAGCGGTAGCAGAGAGGGTGTCGTTGTGGTATCTCGAGTCTGTCTGTTGTTGCTGTTGCAGTTGTTGCGGTATTATATGTTGTGGTGGGTGATGCCGTGGTTGCGTCGGCGGCTGTTGCTGCATTGCGAGGTTGAAAGAGGTCGCAGGAGGAGAACAACCAACAGATTTTTCCGCTGCTTTTTAGGGTTCGTGGATCGAAAGGTTGTGGTGCGGAGGGGGCAAAAAAGTCTCGGAATTTAGCTTGCTAGCTGCTTTTTTTTTTTCTCCTTGTTTGTTTCGCGCTTAGTGGGCTGATGCTGGCTGAAGGAGAAAGGGCAGGCGAGCAGAGGAGATCAGCCAACGCAGCAGAGACTGTTCTCAAGCCCTGGCTGGAGAGGGCGAAGGTATCCGGGAAGACATGCGAGAACCTTTTCACTTGGATATCATTTCTTCCTCTTTTTATATCTGTATATTTATATCACTATTAGTCATCGAGTCGATGATGTCGTTTAGGCAGAGAAGGGCAAGTGAGCATTTTATTTATCGTCATTGAAACTTCAAGAGGCACATACATACAACTCAAATGAAGAGGCTCATGACCTTGTGGAGGTACGGCGAGTTCACGGCGACTGACCTCGCTGCAGCTGACCTGATAGGTAATACCGACGCCATCGTGTTGTCACGCTCACTAGCTAATCCTTGGTTGTTGCCGGGCTGTTCATCGTCATCGTTTCGTGGCATGCTAAAGACCGAATGGTTCAAAATTATCGTTGCTGTCCTCGCATAATAGTTAACTATTTCCCCAGATCTGCTTTCCCACCCCACGATCATTTGCTCCTTGGACATCACCGATTGGACAACGGCTCTACAGCTCTCCTTCCATCCCCAGCGACTCCCAGAGCTCATCCTTGCTCTTGACGGTATCAGGCAGGACTTCCGTGCATTTCAACCACGTTTCTCGACAGGCCTGCTTGCGAAGAGAAGCGTGTCTCTTCCACGCTGTCCAGTCTCTATGGATCCGGCGGCTTTCTTCCTCCGTTACTGTCCTGCCCGTAACCGTCTCCTTGCTGAGCTGGGTAAGCTGATCGTTAAGTATACCCCTCCTGACCTCTAACTGGTTGATTTGCGCGAGAAGCTCTGTGCTTGAGACACGGGAATTCAGCACGGCAAGCTCCGTTTTGAGTGCCTTTTCCTGTCCTTTGGCAACTTCGAGTTGCTCCCTGAAAGATGTGATCTTTTCATCCATAGCTGCAAGTTCTTCTGGTGTTGCCTCGTTGGCAGTGTCTTGAACCACGTGGTAGACCATTTGTTTTCCTAAGATTACACTGAGCATCCAACTCTTTGGTAAGATACCGGGCCAGATATCTATATACCTGAGACTCTGCACTCGAGCAGCTTTCGCTCATGCAAGCCCTTTAATGCTTTGACCGTATATGCTAGAGAAAGTCTACATTAGCATAGGCCTTATCCCTATCCCCAAGTCTTGCTAGATACCTTTAGTCACTTTGTTGTGCAGGTTTGCACTGATATCAATTGCCTGTCCACGGTTAATACCATTCTAGTCCCAAACGAAGCGAAGAGAAAGGGGCCAGCCTACAGAATATGGTCGGCTACCAAGTCAAGCACTTGTATATCAGCACGGTCTGAATGTCAGTGGACGAGTTGAACTGCATACTTCTGCTGTTCTATTCTCCTAGTCAGCATACCCATCTCCCTGGAGGCACGCAAAACAGCAGATACTTACGGAGATACTTCAGAATCATCGTCGAGCCTATATTGACAAGCAGACAGAATTGTATAACAAGTCAGAGTAGTTCGTTTGTTGTTTGCGCGTTTGCAGGCATAAAACACCCACCGTCCTCGCTGGGAGCACTCTTTTCGCCCCTTTCCGTCTTTTCCTTCCTGGGAGCCATCGCGACTGTTCTTCTCCGGCTGGCTATGTGTTTTTATCTTCCCGTTTATAACTTATTTTGCCGTCTTTCACAATATTTTATGTTGATGAAGTTGAAGAGGAGAAAAAATGTCGTCGAGAAGAAGACGTGAAGAATTTCCAGATTGGGATGACGAACGGCAGAATCTGCTGACCGCATTCGTTTTGATATAAAAAGTTTTTATATAAAGATTTTTGTATACGAGAGTATTGATTATGAGTAGAGCATTAGAAGAGAAGTAAGTGTATGGCTGTCTTCCTTGCAAGGTACAGAACTGATTCAGTGGAACGGGAGAAGCTTCTATTCACATCAAGTAAGACATCTGATCATATCGACAACCGAGAGCTAGCAGTTAACTAGTATAAAGGGGAAAGAAAACGACGGCTAAACACGCCAGGTAGAACCAAAGTTGTATAAACGCCCATGATATGGCAACAAGTAGAATAAAAGGATGATGCAAATTTCAAGACGGAGAATATCAAACCGTTCGCAATGAGCTTCGAGGGTCTATGCGAAATGAAGCAAGAGAGAAGCAAATGCAAGAAGAGAATATGGAGGGAAGTCAAAAGTAAAAAGGGAGCTATATAAAATTATGCATACAAGAGATGAATTTCACGGAGAACATAACGTGAGGTGGAAAAGAAAGAAACAAGCAAGTAAGAAAAGGGCTCCAGAATCTCCGGAATTAATCAATAGGCTTTACCAAAGAAAGGTAGAAGAAAATAATCAACGTGGCAAATCGACTTTTGCAACGACATTTGAATAGTGAACATCGATCCAATTTTTTGACCCCTTTTTCCCCCAACCAAAATGGCAAGGAATCACATAACAACCTATATTATTAATTAGTATTATGATTGATACTCGAAAAATGCACAAGGCTGGGGAACTCACGCAGTCGCT